AGACTCTTGTATTTGTCTAAGACCAGGCCTGATATTGCTTATGCAGTGGGTGTCCTTAGTCAATTCATGCACAATCCTAGGCCAACTCACTTTGAAGCTGCAGAGAGGATCCTTAGATACCTCAAGAAGTTTCCTGGAGCTGGTTTGTTGTTCCAGAAACATGGACACTTAAAGGTGGAAGTATATACTGATGCTGATCGGGCAGGAGCAGTYGATGACCGAAAGTCTACTAGTGGGTATTGTGCCTTTGTAGGAGGAAACCTGGTCACATGGAGAAGTAAAAAACAAAGTGTGGTGGCTAGATCTAGTGCTGAAGCAGAATATAGAGCGATGTCTCATGGGGTTGCTGAAATCATGTGGATAAGAAATCTGTTAGGTGAACTAGGTTTTGCAGTGAGCAACCCTATGCCACTCTACCGTGACAATAAAGCTGCCATCAATATTGCTGCTAATCCAGTCCTGCATGATAGGACAAAACACATTGAAGTGGACAAGCATTTTATTAGAGAGAAACTTGTAAGTGGATAACTGTGTACTCCATATGTCAGCTCAGAAGAACAACTTGTAGATATGTTCACCAAAGGTCTTCATCATGTGCGGCACAATAATTTGTGTGACAAGTTGGGCATGATTGACATCTATGCTCCAACTTGAGGGGGAGTGTTGAAATAATTTAGTTATTTGTGTTAGGGTCTGTTTGGCTAGTTAAAGCCTTTTTTTATTTTTTGTTATTGTACTCACTTACAGAAGGGGCACAAGAGTCTTTTCCCTTCTTATTTCTGCCGCCCTATATAATATAATAGAAGCTGGCGCCGCCAGTACTGTTCCATTGCTCCAAACCTTTTCTTCTTCCTTTCTTCTTCTCTTCTCTCTTCTCTCTTCTTCCCTTCTCTTCTCTACTTCCTCATATTTCAATCGGATTTATTGCCAAGATGGACAAACCGATAAAGATCACACAACTTCCTATCCTTTTCCAACCCAAACCTCCATAATCATATTTGCTCATAAGAGGTTTATTGAATGTCTTTATCCTTTAGCTCCAACCCCCATAATGCTTTTGGTTTGCACACCTTTTCCCACTTTACTAAATGAGGCTTTCTAGGTCCCTTTGCCCCTCTCCAAAGGAAATCCCTTTGGATCTTTTCTATCTTATTGACTACAACAGTTGGTATTTTCAGCAGTGAGAGGTAGTAGGTAGGTAGACTCGACAACACACTTCTGATGAGGGCAATTCTGTCCCCAAGTGAGAGATATCTTGCTTTCCATTTTTCCAGCCTCATTTTGTTAGACAGTTTTGTATGCCCTTAGCTTCAATCTGATTTGATGTAGTTTTGTTATTTAGTGGAAATAAATAAAGTGCATGTTTGATTCATGTTGTTTGGTTTAATTCTGTGTAA